TTATGTACCTGCATGACTGATGCTCTGCTAGAAATAGTGCCTCAGTCACCAATGCAAAATACTGATAAGGCCATGGCTGCTTAGTCCATTTCCGACTGCTCTGCCAAGAAGAAAGTTATATTTTGTATTAAAGGGTCACATGAAGCAAGGCATTTCCTGCATACCAAATACATAGCAACCAAGCAGATACCAACCCTGCCATCTCTCCTAGCCATGGGGCTGCCTGTGCTGCTTCTATTCAAATCCTATTTTACAGTTTAGAGGATTGTCTTGTAGACTGTATGAATTAAACAGCCAGTTGATGCACCTACCATATTGCAGGGCAGTCATTCACTTTAAGTGTCTCTTGTTTTCCGAGGATTGTGTTTAGCACAGCATGTTCGCTTCCTGTGAGTGCATGAAGGTCCCCTTGGACTCATCCTCCCCCAAAAAGTTACACATCCCTCCTGCTGAGCAATAGCAGATTTCTGGCTTTGGGGGCCCAGTTTAGAGCAGAACTTAGTGACCTGAAATCAAGGATTCAGTGAGAGCAATTTGTTCATTTAGCTCGTTCCAGATTAAAACAATCTGGCACTTTGCTGCTCAGAGAGCTCCCTAGAACATGATCAGTATGCTAAAGACACCAAAGACTCAATAACTGATGATCATAACTAAATACAGTGAAAACTTGGGGATTTGTATTGTTCTGCAGTTACAACTGCTGGACTTCAGTGCCCTTCTATCTCAATTGTTTGCAATATACTACATTTTCTGCAGGATATTCCTAGAACACCTTTAATCTGAATGTAAAAACTGCTGATTTTATACCTCTTAGGTCTTGGTGAGTGAATAACTACTATGTGTAGATAGTTAAGCATGAAGTGGCCTGCTAAGAAAAATGGTGTCCCATGTAAAAAATGAGCTTAGAAAGACTCATCTTAAACATTAGTATGTGAATGTTCCCTGTCTCATGAAAAAGAGGCTATAGAAAACATTATCCAGCTGGTAAATCTAGTGTGTCCTATTTCAGCTTGAAAATCTGGTTGGATGTGTGGCAAATTCATAATTTTGACCTCCAGTCATGCTAACAGGGTTTAGGTATTGGAACCAAGGAGGTGATGAACTGTTTCAGAGACCTGCTTAGAATGTGACAAATGTGTTAATGACACCAAAGAATTAATCTCTGTTTGTTTTGTGTTAATGGATGAAGAAACCAGGTATTGACATTAGCAATGTGGGCATAGGATCCAGTTGTGGGCACCTGGGCTGGCCCAGTGTAACTTGGAAGCCATGTGAGCAAATCTGGCTGTGAGCAACTCCAGCAGGCTGGAAAAGAAGCACAGTGTCTACACCTTCCGGATGACACAGAGTTCCTTCGCCATGGCTTGTCTAGCTGTGGAGTTGCCCATGCCTGCATGGTTGACAACAGGCTGGATGCTGCCAGGGTTGTCAGCTTCCAGAATAACCTTCCCTGGAGAATGCTGGAATTTTTTTTTAGTTGACCCATTGGAGTTGAGCTGGAAACACCTACATACTGTCCTCCAAATGTCCTGCTGCTTACTGAAGCACCTGTTCCACAATGCACTTGGAGCTTGGGATGCAAGTGCCCACTCCTGTTGAGACAACATGGCCTAAAAAGGTAGCAAGGAACCAAATCAACTTACCTTGGGGGTAGAGGTATCCCTGGCATTGGTGGTAAAAAGGTTAGGGATCCTTCAGTGAGAGATGGTCTAAGACAGTGGTCCTCAATCTTTTGAGTCCCAAGGCACCCCTAGAAAAATATCAGCTGTTAATTTTCACTTGTTTTTTTGACTGCAGAAAGATAATAGAACTATTCTTCTGCACAGAGAATTCAGAAAGATCCCAACAGATCAGAATGAATAAACCCAGTCAGATTCCTATTTGAAATCTTTAGGTTTATCTTGTAAATCATGTTTGCACACCTAATAGTGCTAACATTGCATGGTACTCTGCAGCATCCTTAAAAGGATCTCAGGGCACGCCAGGATGCCATGGTGCTCTGGTTAAGAATCACTGGTCTAGGAACACTTGATCCTGAGCCTGAGTTGAACTGGGGGACCTCTTGATGTCTCTTCTAAACCCATCTCCCCATGATTTCTAAGGCTTGTATAAAAACCCCATAAGGCAAAATGTTTTCAGCTTTTTTTGAACACCAAAAATTTGAGACCAGGGGCCTAAAATTCAAGCTTTTTTGGCTATTTTTTCAGGTTTTGGTTTCCTGATGAAAACTCAGACTTTTGGAAGTGGCAGACAACTTCTACACACACAAATTTAGGAAAAAATAGCTTAATATCATGTTTTCCTTAATATACGTAGAAAAGGCTTCGGTAGAAATTGTCGGCTGCCTCTGAACATCTCATTCTCTGTCCATCCCTGGGTGTCTGGGCCTCTGGTCATGCAGGCCTGGCCAGGAAGAGCTCTTGAGCTTCCACACTTGACCTTGATCCTGGGCTCATGCAACTTTCCCAGTTTTCTGTAACTGGACTGGATGCTGAGAGCACCACTCAGCCCTTTTAAGCACACCTACAGCATCAGGTTGTAGGCACACCTTGACAACAGCCTTAGTCTGCTCCGGCAAGCCTTATGTTCACTGCTCTCTCTGGTACTCCTGGTTCCTGATGTAGCTTTAGCTTTCCCCAACCCTGCTCTTGAATCTTCCTGGAGCTCAGCACCTGCTGTCTGGTTCTCTTGGCTTCTGATCTTGGCTTGCATCCTGGACTATGTCTCTTGGATGTCCCTCTTGTCTTGTCTTGGGACCAGGCCCCATGTTCTCTGCTCCCGCTGAGCCAGACACCAGTCTGATGCCCTTGCTACCTGTACACCATGTAACTGACATCATGGTTGCAATCTCATGGTTGCCCTACTTTGAAAAGCTGGACGTGTACACATCCATGGGGCTGGATGGCACGCCCCTGAGGGTGCTGAGGGAGTTGGCTGATGTGATTGAAGACCCACTGGCCATCATCTTTGAAAACTCATAGTGATCAGGAGAGGTCCTGGATGATTGGAAAAGGGCAACATAACACCTATATTTAAGAAAGGGAAAAAGGAGGATCCAGGAAACTACAGACCAGCCAGCCTCACCTCAGTCCCTGGAAAAATCATGGAGCAGATCTTCAAGGAATCCATTTCTAAGCACTTGGAGGAGAAGAAGGTGATTAGAAACAGTCAGCATGGATTCACCAGAGGCGAGTCATGCCTGACCACCCTGACTGCCTTCTATAATGAGATGACTGGCTCTGTGGATGTGGGGAGACTGGTGGATGTGGTGTATCTTGATTTTAGCAACGCTTTGGTACGTTCTTCCACAACATTCTTGCAGGCAAGCTCAGGAAGTACAGGCTGGATGAATGGACTGTGAGGTTGATAGAAAACTGGCTGGAACATCCAGTTCAGAGGGTAGTAATCAATGGCTCAATGTCTAGTTAGCAGCCAGTATCAACTGGAGCGCCCCAGGGGTAGGTCCTGAGGCCGGTTTTGTTCAGTGTCTTCATCAACGACCTGGAAGATGGCATAGAGCGCACCCTCAGCAAGTTTGCAGATGACACCAAGCTGGGGAAAGTAGTAGATATGCTGGAGGGCAGAGTTAGGATTTGGAGTGACCCAGACAATTCGGAGGATTGGGGCAAAAAAAATCTCATGAGGTTCAACTAGCCAAGTGCAAAGTCCCGCACTTAGGACAGAACCATCCCATGCACTGGTGCAGGCTGGGGGCTGACTGGCTGGGCGGCAGCTCTGCAGAAAAGGACCTGGGGTTACAGTGGACAGTAAGCTGAATATGAATCATTAGTGTGCCCTTGTTGCCAAGAAGGCTAATGGCATCCTGGTCTGCATTGCTAGGAGTGTTGCCAGTAGGTCAAGGGAAGTGATATTTCCCTGTATTCAGCACTGGTGAGGCCACATCTGGAGTACTGTGTTCAGTTTTGGGGCCCCCCCACTACAGATGTGGACAGGATGTGGACAAATTGGAGAGAGTCCAGCGGAGGGTGACAAAAATGGTGAGGGGGCTGGGGGACATGACTTCTGAGTAGAGGTTGAGGGAACTGGGCTATTTAGTCTAGAGAAGAGGAGACTGAAAGGGGACTTAATAGCAGGCTTCAACTACCTGAAGGGGGTTCAAAAGAGGATGGAGCTGGACTGTTCTCAGTGGTGGCAGATGACACAACAAGGATCAATGGTCTCAAATTGCAGCAAGGGAGGCTTAGTTTAGTTATGAGGAAGATTTTTCGCACTAGGAGGGTAGTAAAACACTGGAACAGGTTACCCAGAGAGGTGGTAGAAGCTCCATCCTTGAAGGTTTTTAAGACTTGGCTAGGCAAAGCTTTGGCTGGGATGGTCTAGCTGGGGATAGTCCTGCTTTGAGCAGGAGGTTGGACTAGATGACCCCCTGAGGTCCCTTCCTACCCTCATTTTCTATGATTCAATGATTCAGGGTCTACCCACAGGCCCGGCTGCCTGTGTTCCAGCTGAACCCTCACACTGGGTCTGTCCCGCCCCAGCCAGACACTCCCTCCCTAGAATCCCTTCTTGCTGTGCCCCCCCCCCCCCTTGGATTCCTGCACAGTCAACAGTTTTCCTTCCCACTCAGACAGGCACCCCATCACACTGCACCCACCAGACCACCCCTACCACATTGTCCCAGCTCAGGCACCCAACAACCCATGTAGCAGATGTTTCTCAGACTTGAGGGCTGTACTGCCTTCCTGTTCCCAGCCCATGGAGTGAAGAAAATTCCTGGGAGTTAAAGTTAATCCCATATTCCCAGGCTGGGAAGAAAGCAGTGTGCAGCAGGAAAGACCCAGCTGGCTTTTTTCCAAAGCCACACCTGTTTCCATAGTTGTTTGGCCAATGCTCCAATAGTCCTGGGGCCTTGAGCTAGGTCTGGAAAACACTGATAAGGTCTTGGCACAGCTCGTTTTTGTTTTTCTGAGAGCCCTGACAGGAAACTTCTAAGTTGCCCCACCTTCCACAATACTCTTGTATAACCAGACACCTCCCAGGGTCCATACACAGAGCAGCTAAGCAGAGACTAGACCCACCATCTCTGCAAGCCATGGGGCTACCCACACTACTAGGCTGTGTCTCCCTATGGGCTGGGCTGGTGCTGGCTGAAGTGGGATCATTCAGTCGGTGCCAGCAGTATTTCTACAAAGGAGTTGAGCCAGAGGGGTTCAACACCCAACGCACAGCAAAGATCTGCCAGAGATACAATGGCACGTACCACTATGCCACCCTGTATGACAGGGACCACCGCATCCCACGTTGGTCTGCATACACGCTGAACGAGACGGCCTGTGAAGGGCAGCCCCAGAGAAGGAGCAGATGGTTCATAGAGCCACAGGTCAGTCCCGGAGAACTGGGCCAGTCACTGTGTCGGATTATGAGCAGCTCAGGGACCTGATAAGCATGGGTTTGAGGGAGAGAGATGGGAGGACAGGGGAAGGGACATTAAAGACAGGTATCCAGAGAGAAAGTGAATGTGGTAGGCATGTGGGGAGGTGTGAAAAGGGGTTCAGATCCTGGCAAGGCAGAAGCAGGGGGATAATGGGGGACAGGGTGGGAGACCTCGGGGAAGGGAGGCACAGGCTGAGCTTAGGAGCTGAGGCCCAGAAGAAACAGGGGGGATGTGGGCTGTTCTCCAGCTGGACAAAGTGGAGAGCATGGCAGAATACCCCATGCTGCTCCCCAACATGATGAAGACATTGAGGGGAGGTTGTTGGAGAAGAAGGGTTTGACTCCAAGGGAGGGAGATGGAGGGTTCAGGAAGAGGGAGGGAGAGGATTCCTGGAAGAAAGGGGGAATGCACATGCTAGAGGCAGGGAGGTGAAGGGGCATCCCAGGGTCTGGCTGTGTGTATTCAGGGCGGAGAAGGGGCCATGTCCCCAGCATGGGAATTCCTGAGAAGGACAAGTCACTCTGCCTTTTTGCTCCCCCAGCTCTTTGGTGCAGACAAGGGCCCAGACATGACAACAGAGGCAGAGTCAGGCCTGACCCCAGAGGATCTGAGATTCAGCCAGGCTGTCAGCGAGGACTATGAGGACACCTCCTATGACCCAGGACCCCTCAACCCAAATGGCCTCCAGTGCAACAGCAACCACACGGCAATTTTCACCCTCACCAACACCATCCCCATGAAGCCCTGCTTCCTCCGGAGCCGCTGGCACAAGCTGCAGCACCTATTCCAGGCAGAGCTGGCCAAGAGCTGCCTCAGCCTGGGTGGAGTTGCCTACCTGGTGACAGGCTCTGGTCCCAGTAGGGAGATGATTTCCAGAGGGGGTGAGGACCAGGAAAGGGACCAGGCACAGCTGTGCCACCGGGTATCAGTGCCCAGCTATGTTTGGATGGCCGCATGCTGTGACAACCGCAACACCGACCACAAATTCTCCCTTGCCTTCCTGGCTGAGAACAAAGAGGAATCCCGGCTGCAAATCCTCCCTGTGACACAATTAAATGGGGAGCTGCTGGTGTTGAACCAGACTCTTCAGAGACTCAGGATCTTCGCAGACAATTGCAGTGGTGGGAGCCAGAGAAGCCAGGAGGCTTTGTCCGCTCTAAGGGCCTCTGTGTACATCGCTTTCCGGGACCGGGTGCTGGACTCTTATTTCCAGTTCCTCCCTCCAGAGGAAAGGCAGAAACTGGACAAAAGGACCAACTGGGTGATGAAGAGCAGGAATGATGAAGAGCCGGAATGGGGATCTGTGCGAGGTGCGGTTCACAGCAGTCAGGGCCTTTGTAGAAGTGTCCAGCTCAGAAGCCTGGCAAAGGAAGTTTACTGCGATGTACAACCAGGACAACCTGGCATGTGTTCTCTCATCTGCTCCTTCTGCCTCTGGGCTGGCCCAGACCCCAGGCACTTCAAGAAAAGTTTGTATCCTGCAGGAGCAGAAACACCAGCTGGACTCTGATGTTACAGCCTGGGGGTGGCACTGCATTGGTCATGCCTGTGGGAAACATAAGGGAACTGCCTACAGTTGGTGTTACACTTCTAAGAGCTATTACTGGAATTACTGGGATTACTGCTGCACTGAGAAGTGTACGTCTCAATATGAGTGTGCACGAGGGGATGGGGGAACAGCGTACTGCTCACCTCAGTACTCAACTGTGACTGTAACAGGGCAGCTATGTCGGGCTGACTTTCCCTGTGGCCTCTACGGGGAACGTTATTTCTGGTGCTACACAGACTATCGGCAGAACTGGAATTACTGCTGCTCTCCACATCACTACTGCGGGCACCATGGTTACAGCTACCAGTGGTGCTATGTTGGAGGCTGGAGGTGGACGTGGAAGTACTGCGTCCCTTGAGATGCCCCCCAGGCAGGGACCCTCCACCTCCATGTGGCTGCGGACGTGATTGGAGATGGAGTCTGAGAGTGAGCGCAGGGTGTGGCTGCAAGAGCAACTACCAGCCATCTCCTTTTCTAGTTCCAGGTCTTTCAAAGGGCTGTGGTTGCTGCATCACCCCTTGTGCTCAGGGTAGGTAGGGTGAGCTGAGTTGGGCAGGCGGAGAGGATATTCTTTATTGTTCTTAGTGAAGGTGTTAGGTACTGAAATCTGGCTCAGTGGCAATAAAAGCGCACATTTCATTGCAGGGCCTAATGAAGGTCACCTTGCCAGATGCATGATCTGACTGATGCCCTAGAATAAGATGTGTAGCAAATCCACCCCCCCCCCCCCCCC